GCTAAATTATCTTTGATCAGTTCTAGTTTTAAAATGTTTTCCTTATACTAAGCTATAACTGGGCTCTGTGTAACTCTCATCTTTTGGACCTAGTTTTCTCTTATGAGGTCACACAAAAGAAATCTAATCTCTCCACAAAGTATAAGTCCTTCAAATTAGGTAAAGAAAGCTAGCATGTTCCCCAAAGTCTTCAACAGACTACAATGTTTCTAATGTTTTTCTGTTAACATGGTTTGGTTTCAATACCTAACCATTCTATCCACTATCTCCTATGCACACTCTAGCTTTCTTTATCCGTGTTAGAGGGGACGTCAAAATGGAATATGACATACAGGAAGCCTTCCTAGCCACTCTCTTTCCATTACTGCACCATAAGATCATATAATCAGCTCTTATGGCAGCCACATCACCCTGTTTACTGAGATTAAACTTACTGTAAATTAAAACTACTACATATCTTTCACTCATCTTGCTTTGTCCTCCTTTCCCATCTTGAGCTTATTTTTTTTTTTTTTTTTTGTGGGGGGGAGCACAGGGAGTAGAATAAGTGTAGAACTACAGCTTAATATTATTGTCCACTAGTAAAGAGACTAGTATATCATCTTGATTTTAGAAACAATTTTAAGAAAAAGAACCTCGGCTCTTCCCTTTTCTGAAAACTTTAGTCCTCAAGCCATTAGAAGGTACCAAGCAGGATAGGTATCTGCACAAAATTGGGGTATTGAAGCCTGTCTTGGGTGAGGGGTGTGTTCACATGGGGGAGGGGAAGCAGCCTGGTGTTTGTGAAGTAAGTAGAACTTCTCAATAGGAGAGGAGCCAGGGGCAAGTTGTCAGAGCCTGAGTAATGAAGGCATCTATGCCATGAAGTGGCCAGACACAGGGTGAAAGAGCTCATGTAGGGTAAGAAGGCATCCACGCTGCGGGGTAGCCTATCATGGAGTGTCAGAGATCAGAGCAGTAAAGAGGACATCTACACCACGGTGTGAGGTTTTAGAGTCCAAGTGGGGTGAAAAGATATTCTGGCATGGAGCATCAGAGCCCAAGTAGGTTGAGGAGAGCATCCACACAGGTGAGTGGCCTAGTATGAGGTGTCATAGCCCGGCTCGGTGAGGAGGGTATCTATAAGTGGGAGAGGTAGCAAAATGACAGCAGTCCAGGGCAGGTTTGACGTCTAGGAAGGGTGAGGGGGTGTCTGTGCAGGGGAGGGCACATGAGAGCAATGGTAGACTGGTTACATACAGGGGGATCAATCAAAAAAATATATTAAGGAAAAATATGAGAAGCAAGTTCTCACTGCTGAAGAAGGGAGTTACAAATATGGAAAGGGAAAAGACTAGAAAAAACCTTGTTTATTCTGGATTGAAATTGGATGTATTGGTGTGAATTTATGGTCTTCAGTAAGGATGTGTGTGTGTATAGTAGGTAGGTGGTAGGGGGGAGGTAGACAGAGAATTAAATACAGATGTAAAAGTGCATATAGTACTTAGAAACCATATCTGGTATTAGGTGTGCTCCCTGCTATTGGGATGTTGCTGCTCTTAAGCCTTCTCAGTGGATAGAAACAACCCAATAGAAAAAAGCACACCTAACACCAGATATGGTTTCTAAGTACTATTTTCCACTAAAATAAACCAGATCTCCTTACAGAAATGGCTGATTTCAGGGCTAAGGCTGGGAATTGTGTGCCAGAAACTTTAAAAGTGCTCAAGTAATCACAGGAACATATCAAAAAGTCACAGAGGATGAATGGATGACCATTGGCCAAATCTGGGGCAATATGAGCATTAAGGTAAATAACTGTAATAACAGATTATAATCCACTGAGTAAAGCAGGAAATTATTTTGAATAAAAAGAAAATTTAATGAAAAACAAAATATTTACGTGGTCTCAAAGTACCTCGCCACAAAATATTTATTAACTTCAAAGGGAAAAGAGTAACTTTCCAGTAGAGAAGGTTGGCAGACACCACCTTAATCATGTAATCCAAGTAAACATTGGCTGGTACTATGGGGCAAGATCAAAACCATGTGCCACACCTGATAGGATACAATGAAAATTATCACTTCTGTGCTATTCCTCGCAAAAACATATAATCTAAAGTTACTCTTGAGGAAATACGAGACAAACTCAAATTGTGGGACATTTTTCAAAATAACTGGCCTATCATCTTCAGGCACTCAGCTGCTAACTGAAAGGCTGGAGGTTCAAGCCCACCGAGAGGTGCCTGGGAAGAAGGACCTGGCAATCTACTTCCAAAAAATCAGCCACTGAAAACCCTACGGAGCACAGTTGTAGTCTGATACACATGCAGCTGCCATGAATCGGAATAGACTCAACGGCTACTGGTTTATTTATTTATTTTTTAAAATCATCTTCAAAAGTGCCAAGGTCATGAAAGTTAAGGAAAGACTGAGGAAATGTTCCAGATTAAAGGAGAGTAAAAAGAAGTGATAACTGAATTCAATCTGTGATTCAACTTTATTGAACAGTTGGTAAAACCTGAATGGGGCTGTAGAATTAAATGGTAATAACGTTATCAATGTTAATTTCCTGAGGGTGTATTGCAGTTATCCTTGTTTATAGGAATGACACACTGAAGTATTCAGACAGATGAGACATCATATTGGCAACTTACTGTCAAATGATTCAGAAAAAGGAAAGAAGTTGTACTGTACTTGCAACTTTTCATTAAGTGTGAGATTGTTTCAAAAACGAAAAAAAAAGATTGTAATGGATCTCCCTTTTTCTATAACAGTTGTTTAAAAATGTGTTCCTGAAAGCCTTGCACTCCCCAGTACGGGCAAAGGCTGAGTTAAGCTGGAAGGGCCTGTGCTCCTGACTGTTTTAACATGAACAGCTGTATCTTTGTTGGAAAGCAGCTCAGAGTACTGATTATAAACCCAGCCTTTAAATTCAAACTTGCTGAGGTCAAAACCAGGCTCCATAACTGCATGTTGTGACATGAATAAATTACTTAATCTTTCTAATTTCAGTCTTAGTATCATTCAGAAAAATGATAGTACTTACATCTTACAAGGTTGTTATGAAGATTATGAAAAATAATACATATTAGTAACAATATTCCCATAAACCTATTGCCGCCGAGTCAATTCCAACTCATAACGACACTACAGGACAGAACAGAACTGCCCCATAGAGTTTCCAAGGAGCAGCTGGCAGATTTGAACTGCTGACCTTTTGGTAAGCAGCCAAGCTCTTAACCACTGCGCCACCAGGGCTCCAGTAACAATATTAAATGTTAAGTTCAGACAATGAGATAATGTAGTACCTGACAATAAATGCTCAGTAAATGTGACCACTTTTTATTATTATGTGTTCAATACATTGGCCTTGTGCATACAATTTTACTTACTAAAAAAAAAAAAGCTATTCTAAGATAATGCAACTAAAATTAGGATACTTGTTATAAAAACTTAAAGCTATAACCTTTGTTTTCATGGGGAAGCAGTATGTCCTAGGCAGTAAAATACAATGGTTAAAAGTACAGGCTCTGGAGTCAAACTGCTTGTGTTCAAATCACTACTTTACTACTTACTTGCTGTGTGACATTGGGCAAGTTACTTAATTTTAAGGACAATAAGAGTTGTAAAGCTTAAATGAGATGATGAATGGATAAGGAGTTTAGCAAAGTATCTGGTTTCTTAAGTTTTCTTTATTTTTTAAAAATTATCTCTTTATTACATATTTCTAGTCCACACATATTTAATACCTTACGACAGGAATTGGCACAGCTATGGCCCATGGGTGAAATCTGGCCCACTACTTGTTTTTGTTGATAAAGTTTAACTGGAACACAGATAGATTCATTCATTTATGCATTGCCTGTGGCTGCTTTCACGCTATAATGGCAGAGGTGAGTAGCTGCAACAGAGACCAAATAGTCCACAAAGCCTACAATATTTATCATTGGAAAAAGTTTGCCCATCTCCACCCAAGGATAATAAAAACAAACAGCTAAAAAAAACAACACAATAGAATGTTAAAATAGATGGCATAAATGGAGCAAGATAACAAGTTAACTGGTTTCCATCTATGACAGTGAATTCAAAGCAGCTGACAAACATGTCTGTTTCCCTTTTCCCCCAGAAAATAAGCATTTCCAAAACTGAAAATGTCCTTAGAAGCTCTAAGTTAAAATATTTTTTTTTTCCAAATGGAGGCACAAATTTGTGACATTATAAGAACAGTCTATACCTAAGTATCATCACTCCAGATGTACTTAATGCAATGCATTAAGGCATCGCATTGGGCCATAAGTAAAACATATTTTTCTGAAATTACCTTCTATACTGGGTTGAATAGTGTCCCCCCAAAAATTCATGTCCTTCCCAGGACCTCAGATTGTGACCTCATTTGAAAATAGGCTTGTTGCAGATGTAATTAATTAAGCTGAGGTCATACTGGATTAGAGTGGACCCTTAGTCCAATCAGACTAGCATCCTTACAAGAAAAGAGAGATAGACACAGAGGAAGACAGCCATATGAAGATAGAGGCAGAAACTGGAGTTATGCTGCCACACGCCAAAGAACATCTGGGACCACCAGAACCTAGAAGCAACAAGGAAAGATCTGTCCCCTCGAGGCTTCAGAGAAAACATAGTCTTGCCAACACCCTGATTTCAGACTTGCAGCCTCCAGAGCTGAGAGAAGAAATTTCTGTTGTTTTAAGCCACTCAGTTTGTGATACTTTGCTCTGGCAGCCCTAGGAAACTAATACATCTCCTAAAAATAAGTCATATTTTAAAGTATATTTGAGAAGACTCTGCATAAAAGGAACTGCAAGTGCCATAAGAAATTCTTAAAGGACAAGAGAGAGGGAACTTGCTTACAAATGAGTTGAGCAAAAAAATAATCTCTACAGCTTAAAAAACTGACTTAAGTGTATTTCACTGTAATTTCTTCAAATTTTATGTAAATAAAATAGATTTCCTTGTCCACTCATCACCTACACAAACTGAAAGATACAAAAATGTATTACCTGAACTGGATGTTCACTAAATGAGGCTGGGAACCATCTGACTGCCAGTAAGTTTCCAGATTGTCATCTCGTAACTGATCCACTCCAAATCCTAGAAACACCAAAGTTGAAAATAAAATAAATTCCTTTGAAAAAGAAGGAATTATATATTGGTATTCAAAATGTAAAATTACCATATATATTTGTCCAGAAAGTTTAACGCATAGGATGGTCAGAACTGTGAAATTTAGATTAACCAGAATTCCTCCACCCTTTTATCCAGACCTCAACTCTTAGAAGAAATATCACTTGCACACACAAAAGCATATATTCAGACCAAGTGTTTCTGGTTGTTGGCTTTAGTTTTTAAAAGAACATCTCCTAGGATATACTCTAAAGTCAGTTTGTATTCAAATCCAGTTTCTTATACTTTCTACAAGCTGATAATAAGAATGATCCTCATTTTTAACCTGAAAATTTCTCAAAAATAAAACAGTTGCTCGTAAGTTCAATATATCATATCTAGTGTAACAAAAAAAAGAAAAAATATTTTCAAAGTCACATATATTTTGAAGTCAGCTGTTTCTAATTAACATTCTGATTAACCAAAAATTAAATTTACCCAGAATCCCACATTCTCCAGCCCTTCCAGATAACTGAAGTTGAACTATACTGTTTCTTCCTGATTAAAACCACAATAAATTATACTAATTATAGAAACAAGACTGAATTAGTGGTAAAATACAGAGTTTTCCCCCAAAAAAGTTAAGAAAAATAGTTTTATTAATTTTTTAATTTTGACTAAGTAATATATTCATTATGGATTAAATTCAAAAAATAGCAGAGAATATGGTGAAAAGTCTCTATACCTATCAGTGTCTCAGCCATCCATTTCCCCTCCCCAAACATAATGAATCTATCAGTTTTTTGCATATCCTTTCACACATACTGAATGCATATGCAAGCAAGTATACATATATTCTTTTTTCCCCTCACTTTACAAAAATGATGGTATACTGTACATAGTTCTGCACTTTGATCTTTTTTTCCCCCAATGAGCGTATCTGGAAGAGTATTCTGTATCAATAAATTAATAATAATAATAGCAAACACTGCTATGACATTTACTATGTGCAAGGCACATTATAAGCATTTTACATATACAGTAAAACCTGTGAAAGCTGGAACCTGTGTAAGTCAGAAATCTGTTAGAGAAGTAAAACTCAAATATTTTCCACTACTAGAGAGGGAAAGTAAAGTGGTAAGACTGTACCATGTCAAAGGCAGAAAACTTTTAAAACCCGGAAAAACAAAGCAGTCCTGTCGAGTTCTGGCTCTCACGGGTGTCACTGTATTAAGTTATCTAATATTAACTCATACAACAACTCAATTAGCATAAACAGCTTACACATTTTTTAAAATAAAATTTCAAAATTTTCATTCAGTATTTGGTATGAACATACCATAATTATTTAACCAAACTCCTGTAGGACCTTTAGGTTGTTTCCAATGTTTTGTTATTACAAACAATACTATAATGAACATCTAACTATCTACCTGTCTGTAATCTTTACATACATGTTAGTATTTCTGGAGAACAGATTTCTAAGAATGGATTCCTAAGCCATTAATATGACAAATATTAACAAATTAGCTTCCAAAATGCCTCCCTCACCAATAATGGACCAGAGCACATATCCTTCTACATGGTTACTAAAAATTGAAATACTTCAATATTGATATACTAGATTTCAAAGACTAAATATGAATAAAAGAATTTAAAATATCTAATTAATAATTTTGACACTGATTATAAGTTGAAATAATAATTTAGATATACTGAGTTAGATAAATTACTAAAAATAACTTCACCTATTTCTTTTATGTGGTTGCTGTTGTTGTTACATATCGCCAAGTCAATTTCAACTCACAGCAACCCCATGTGACAAAGTAGAACTGGCCCAAAGGGCTTTCTAGGCTGTAATCTTTATGGGAGAAGATTGCCAGGTCTTTCCCCAACAGAGTGGCCAGGTGGGTTGAAATCGCCAAGCTTTAGGTTAGCAGCCAAGTGCTTAACTGTTGCCGCTAGGGCTCCATGTGGCTACTTGATAATTTTAAATGACTTATATGGTTCTCATTATATTTCTATCAGACAGCTCCGCTCTGTACCCACACTAGAATGCAATCAATTTTTAAAATATTGATTTACCTGATGGATAAAAAACTGTATTTCATTTGCACTTGCATTTCCTTTTCTTAATAAGGTAGAAAATACTTCCATATTTTTATTGAACATTTATATTTCTTCTTATATAAAATACCTGTAAATATCCTATTTTTTCATTACACGTTGGTCTTTTTTTTTTATTTTAACTATTATAAGTATTAACTATCTGTCTGTTCCATGCCATCCAAATATGTTCTCCCCCATCTGAGATTTGTATCTTAAATTTGCATATACCGCTTTTACTGTACATACTAGTGGATAAGAGGTTTCCCAGAGGATATGATTTTTGCACTGAATTCTGAAGTACTAGTTGGAGTTAGCTAGAAAAAAAGAGGTAGAAGAGCAAGGGAAAAGAACATTTCAGCAAAGAGAAAATCATGCAATGGCATGGCTCAAGAAAAATAGAACAAATGGGAACTTACTATAATTCCTTTAAGGAGCTAAGGCTACACACTGGGGTGGAGCGCTAAATGAGCTAGAAGTGCATGAAAGGAGCCAGATTATACAGACTCTTGTGCACGAAGCTAAGGAGTATAATGAAAGATACAGCAACCTCTTAAAGAATTTTTAGTAGGTAAGGCATAGGATCCAGAAATGACAAGATCAAGCTCTTTAGGAAGATCCTTCAGCACCAGTGAGGGAAAAAGCATCGCAGTAATCCAAGTAACATGTGATGAAGGTCTGAATTAAGGTAGTGACAGAGGGAAATGGTCAAAAAATAGTTTTCTATTTTACCAAAAAAAAACCTCTTAAAATGTTAAAACTGGGCTCTCCATTACTCACTCCATAACACTTAAATCTGTGCTGCCTAGAATGGTAGCCACTAGCCACATATAGTTACTGAACACTTGAAACAGGCTAGTCCGAATTGAGATGTGCTGTAAGTATAAAATACACACTGGTTTCCAAAGACTTAGTATGAAAAAAAAGAATGTAAAATACATCATTAATAATAATCATTTGCTTTCACCCTTTTTAATGTTTACACATGCAGTTTGTACTATATTTCTATTGGACTATGCAGGGCAATGGGTTTCTTTTTACACAGCCTTTCTGGCCATGGTCTTATAACCCCTACAAAATGATTGGGAGGGAGTATGCAAATAAGGTGTATACAACTCTTTCCAGGATTGGCTTGGACTATGCAAATAAGGTGCCTGTGGCCCACCAAGGGGATTGGTCTGTTTTGCCATCCCACTAGACATATAAAGAGCCAATCCCACAGGATGAGGATGGACCTGAATACCACCAAGAATAAACGCTGGGAGCAGGGCATGTCCTTTAGACCCAGGGTCCCTGCACTGAGAACCTCCTAGGCCCAGGAGACAGAGGGAGCTGTAACACTGAAGACAGCAAGACTGTAAGGCAGCAGTTGCACAGGACTGGCAATGGCACAGGACTGGCAGCAGCATGGCACTGGCTACAGTGGGCTCCATGACGCACGGAGCAAGAGAGCTGAGCATCAGGCAGAAGGCTTCCTGGCAGAGTGAGATGCTTCCGAGCACTTATTGGCAGAGCTAGGGAATTATAACACTTGCCCTGAGCAGGACAGAGGTCAGGCCAGAGCAGCGCCCTGCGGTAGTAGGACTGAGCAGGGCCCAGTGGCAGAGTCCTGTCTTGCAGGCACAGCTGAGAAGAAGCTGTCCTAATTGAAGAACTGTATCCCGTTACCTTCAATTGTAACCTGTTACTTCCCTAATAAACCCCATAATCATGAGTATGGTCTGTGAGTCCTGTATGGCCACTGCAACAAATTATCGAACCTAGCAGAGAAGTAGAGAGTGCCATGCGAGGGACAGCTGGTGTCAGAATTGGTATAAACAGGTTGGAGAGCTAAGGTATGCCTGAACTCCACTTCACAGGAATCAGCCTTGGGCTGATCTTGATTCTCCTTTCTCCCCCTGAAGTTAGGCAAGGTCTGATACCACCATTTTTCAGACCAGGCTGCCTTAGACCATGCTTCTGTTCTGTCTTTATATAATACTGCTAAGTCTAATCCAGAATATTCAGTTATTCAAAATACAAGATAAAAAGCTGTTTTGCTACCAGCATAAAAAGTTTCTAAGTTCTAAATCCCTTTTTCTACTAGTTTATAAATTTCCTAATAAAGGATTAAGAAAATCACGATTCAAGCTCCACAGTTAAATGTTTTATAGATCAAAAGCTTTTTTTTTTTTTTTTCATTTATTCTATTTTAGCTAGTTCTCAAAGTATGGACTCTGGACCAACAGCAGCATTATCATCCAGAAACTTGTTAGAAATGCAAATTCTGGCCTACGAAAAGCACTCTGGCCTTTGTCCCTGCTCCAGGGGGTAACCTCTAAGCACTTGGAATTTCCCAAGTGACAGGAATATCTTTGTTATTCATGGTGGGCCCCCCACTCACCACACCAGACAGTTTATGCTAACAAGATGACTCAAGGTATGGGATGGCCACACCAGAAAAACTAACCATGTGATTAGAGAGTTGACGCTTGGGCCACTTAATATCAGCCCAACCTCCAGGGAGTGTAGGGGAGGAGGGGGGATATTGAATTCAACCATTTGGGCAATCAATCAATCAATCACACCTACATAACGAGGCCTCAGTAAAAACTCTGGACATTGAAGCTTGGATGAGCTTCCTGGGTTGGCAATACTTCATGTATAGTGACACACATAGATGCAGATAGAGTAACGCATCCCTGAGGACAATGGAAGCTTCACATACGGAATGCTCCCAGACTTCACTCTATGCACTGTTTCTAATTTGTATCCTTTCACTATTAATAAAACTATAGTAATAAGCATAGCACTTTCCTATGAGTCGAAATCCAACTCAACGGCAACTTTTTTTTTTTTTTAATAGCGCTTTGCTGAATTTTGCGAGTCATTCTAGTAAATTA